TCGCGCTACACCACGGTCTTCCCCTTGCGCGCCAAGGGTGACGTCCCTGATGTCTTGATCCCTTGGATCCGCAGATCTCGTCTCCAGCTCAGCAAGCGTTTCCACTCCGACTTTCCTGTCTTGCGTCTGCACTCTGACAGAGGTGGGGAGTTTTCCTCCGGCCTCTTGGAGGCCTTCTGTCAGCAGGAGGGCATTGAGCAGTCGTTCACGCTTCCGGCCTCTCCACAGCAGAATGGGGTTGCTGAGCGCCGCATTGGCTTGGTCATGGAGGTCGCTCGTACCTCCTTGGTTCATGCGGCTGCCCCCCATTTTCTGTGGCCGTTTGCAGTCCGATACGCTGCGCATCAGCTCAACCTCTGGCCCCGAGTCTCCCTCCCGGAGACTTCTCCGACCCTGCGTTGGACGGGAGAGGCTGGCGATGCGTCACGTTTTCGGGTCTGGGGATCCCGAGCTTTTGTTCGAGACACGTCCGCGGACAAGCTCTCCCGTCGCGCTGTCCCCTGTGTCTTCCTTGGCTTTGTCCCGGACGCCCCTGGCTGGCAGTTCTACCACGCCACCTCGCGTCGTGTCCTGGCCTCTCAGGACGTCACTTTTGACGAGTCCGTCCCCTACTACCGCCTCTTCCCCTACCGCACTGCCCCGCTCCCCCCCCCGCCTCTCTTCCTCGCTCCAGGTGCTGAGGTACCAGACCCCCTCCCCCCTCAGGGTGCCGCTCCCTCAGGTGTGTCCCAGGTAGACCCGGGTGAGCCTGTCGAGGTAGCTGTCGACTCTCGTCCTGCTAGGGGTGCTGAGCCTGGGGGTGCTGAGCCTGGGGGTGCTGCGTCTGGGGGTGCTGAGTCTGGGGGTGCGGAGCCTGGGGGTGTTGAGCCTGGAGGTGCGGAGCCTGGCGGTGCGGAGCCTGGAGGTGCTGAGCCTGGAGGTGCTGAGTCTGGGGGTGCTGAGTCTAGGGGTGCTGAGCCTGAGCGTACTACACCTGGAGGAGCCCTCTCCTCCCGGCAGCTGCAGGAGAGGTACCTACAGTACTGCCGCCTCCGGAGAGGTACTACTGGAGCTCGTACCAGTACTTCTCCTCCTGCCCAGGAGCTCCCCCCCATTCAGCAGATCCGAGAGTGGTACACGCGGCGCTGCAGTCTTCGGAGTGGTGCTCCTGGTGCTGCGGACCCTGGGGTTGGCGCTGCTACTGGTGCTGAGGACCCGAGCGGTGGAGCTGCTGCTGGTGCTGAGGACCCGAGCGGTGGAGCTGCTGCTGGTGCTGAGGACCCGGACGGTGGAGCTGCTGCTGGTGCTGAGGACCTCGCCACTGGTGTCTCTGCTGGTTCTGGAGACGCTGCGCGGCCGCGACCATACTTCGTACCACTTCTTCAGCAGGTTCTTGGTCAGGCTCCTCCTCCTTGTCCTCCTCCCTCCGTAGAGTGTCCTCCGCCTGTCCAGCCGCAGTCACAGTTACCGCCTGCCTCGCCTCTCCCTGCTCCCTCTCCTTACACTGGTCCCACAGGAGGTCTTACAGAGCGTCGTGAGCCTGAGTCTCGTCCTGCGTCGCCTGTCCGTACTGCTCGCACTGGTCGTCGTGTCCCACGTGAGCGTCCTCCTCCTGTCCCTGGCACTCACTACATGACTCTGCGTCCCTCTACTGCTCCTCAGCGTGTCCCTCTGCCGTCTCCTCCTGCGTCCTCTCTACCTACTCTTCCTGACCCGGAGTCTGACTACCGTCGTGCTGCCAGTCCCACTGTCACGCGTCTCCTCGCTACTGTTGTCACTGACCCTTCCTTTGAGTCCTCTGCTGCGTCTGCTCTGGTTGCTGAGTTGGTTGACTTTGCTGCCCGCTGTCGTCTAGACTACGCCGCTAGCCTTGTTGCTGAGTCTGAGTCTGTCTGTCCTCCGTCCGTCGGGGGTGAGTGTGCTCTTGGCACGGACGTCCTTGAGGACAGACAGGAGGAGTTCCAGTGCTTTGCTGCTGCTTTGCCCCGTCTCGTGTCCATGCTAGTTGCCCATGAGGGAGACCCGGATGCACCAGACATCCCGACCCCGCGCTCTTACGCTGAGGCGATGGCGGGTCCCTACTCCTCTCAGTGGCAGACAGCCATGGACGCAGAGATGGCTTCCTGGAAGTCCACAGGCACCTACGTCGACGAGGTTTCCCCACCTGGGGCGAACATCGTCAGTGGCATGTGGATTTTCAGGGTGAAGCGGCCGCCGAGTTCTCCTCCTGTCTTCAAGGCGCGCTACGTTGCTCGAGGCTTCAGTCAGCGAGAGGGAGTAGACTTCTTCCAGACCTTCTCCCCCACCCCGAAGATGACCACTCTTCGGGTGCTGCTACACATAGCCGCTCAGCGCGACTACGAGCTTCACTCACTTGACTTCAGCACTGCTTTCTTACAGGGCAGCCTGCACGAGGAGATCTGGCTACGTCGCCCACCTGGCTTCACTGGGTTGGTTCCTCCTGGTACCCAGTGGAGGCTCCAGCGGCCGGTCTACGGTCTCCGCCAGGCACCACGTGAGTGGCATGACACACTGAGGACGACACTTGCGGCTCTTGGGTTCGCTCCCTCTACTGCTGACCCGTCACTGTTTCTACGCACCGACACCTCGCTGCCGCCGTTCTACATCCTCGTGTACGTCAACGACTTGGTCTTTGCCACTGCTGACACCGCGGCACTCGCCCACGTGAAGTCGGAGCTGCAGAGGAGACACACGTGCACAGACCTGGGTGAACTGACGAGCTATCTTGGCTTGCGGATCACCCGGGACAGAGCACGGCGCACCATCACCTTGACTCAGTCACACATGGTGCAGCAGATCCTCCAGCGCTTCCGCTTCACGTACTCCTCGCCTCAGTCCACTCCTCTGCCTACCGGTCACTCGCTCTCAGCTCTGCCTTCGGATGAGTCCGTAGAGCCGAGTGGCCCGTATCCAGAGCTTGTGGGCTGCTTCATGTACCTGATGACCTGCACTCGACCTGACCTGGCATACCCTCTTAGCATCCTTGCACGCTATGTCGCTCCTGGCCATCACAGGAAGGAGCACATGGATGCCGCTAAGAGGGTGTTGCGCTATTTGTGCAGTACGTCGGGCATGGGGCTAGTGCTTGGAGGGCGGGACCGAGTTGTACTCACAGGACACTCAGATGCTTCTTGGGCGGACGATCAGGCTACTCAGCGGTCGTCTCAGGGTTACACCTTCAGCCTTGGCTCTGGCTCAGTTTCTTGGCGTTCCACACGCTCTTCTTCTGTTCTCAGCTCCAGTTGCGAGGCTGAGATCTACGCCACAGCCATGGCTGCCCAGGAGCTACGCTGGCTGACCTACCTGCTGACCGACCTGGGAGAGCGGCCTCGTTCTCCTCCAGTGCTGTACGTCGACAACAAGGCTGCCATTGCCTTGTGTGAGGAGCACAGACTGGAGCACAGAACGAAGCACATCGCCCTGCGGTACTTCCTTGCTCGAGAGCTGCAGCAGCGCGGTCAGCTTTGTCTGCGTTACGTGGCCACTGAGGCCAACACTGCTGATGTGTTCACCAAGGCGCTTCAGCCTTGTGACCATCAGCGCTTCTGCACTCTGCTAGGCCTTGTGCCTACTGGACCTCACTTGCTTACTTCTTGACCCTGCTTGTACTGTGATCACTATATATATATATATACCTGCATGTTTACTCTTGCTAGGTTGTGATCACTGTATCTCTTGCTTTGTTATAAACCTGCATGTGCTTGTGCTTGTGCTCAGACTGTGTGGTGTCCTTGAGATCCACCCTGAGCTTTGTCTTGCTTGCTTTTCTGCTTGACTGGTCTTGTGACCACTGTTAGGTTTGGCTATCCCCCCTACTTCACCTATGGGGGTGTGTCAAATTATATGTTTCATATTATTTAGTTCTAGGTTGTGTAGGGGTGATTCTTAGAGGGTACATCAATTCTCTCGATACTCTTGTACCCCCCTCCCCTAACCTAATCGACATACTTTCCTCTCTAGTTCTAACACCTACCTGCCCAGGAGTAGTTGCGCAGGTGCTCGCAACAGACAGTTGCACATACTCGTTTGTGCAATGTCGTCACTTCCCTCCAATTCGGTTCAGTGTTGAACAGTGCATACCGAAGTGCACTATTGGAGTGTACTCAACGAATACCGCAACCCAGGTAAAACCGGTATGTGATATGCGAAGTCTCGCTACTCCGCAGAAGGCTGCTACACCAGGGACGTCGCTAGCAGACATTTTTTGTCTGTTTGGCTTATCATCAGACACATTTTTTTGGCTTAATCTGATGGGCCGGTCTGCATCAGACAATTTTTTTTTTTTGCCCGAGGGACCCGTCTGATGCATCAGACACCCCTCAGACCCTAGCAACGACCCTGTGCTACACGCAAAACCAGGCGCGTGCAGGGCTTCACCTTAACAACATTTAGCTTGTAGGATGACCGAGCACAGAATAGTACACGCAGTTGCTGCAAATGCCGCTGCCGCACCGTTCAAAGGGCGCTGCTTCTTCGCATGGAATTGGCATGAGCTTCATAAAAGCGAATGCCCGTAGGAGAAACAGAGCAAGTGAGCCGAACAACAGAAGGGGTCTCCAGCAGAGAAACGCTGGAAGTCGGTAGCAAACGGGCCTTCCACTAATAAGACTCGCCACTCACCCGACCCATCCGACCCTCACCGAGTAAAAGTACGAATTTATACAATCGATCATAATCGGCTGAACTAGGAGGGTACAGTACAGTGGTAGATGATTTTACTGTTGGAAAATCCACAATGACTTGTTGACATAGAAGCTAGTTGCGGCCAAATCAACACCGCCATCGTTAGAAGACTGCAACGACCCCCGAATCGATGCTTACTCAAAATAGACGCAAAACTTGTCTAGAGAACACCATTTGTTGAATAGTTTGTCCTTGGGGGGTTACCCCTAGCGGAATGCAAAGCTGCAATAAGCTACAATAAGCTGCAAAACAGTAAATATTGAAAAACGCTTTCCACCTTGTGGAACCGTCCTGAGCCACGATACAAGAAACTGTAAATGTGCGACTTTCGTGCGACCTGACGTCACCCTAATTCCATCATTTCGAGGTTATTCGCGTTGTCTCGTTCCGCCATTTTCACGCGATTTATAATCCATCTGTTTGGTCTATTCCTGGAAGACACAACAGGTGGAAATGGCAGGAGTTGCTGCGATTTTCACGCCTACTCGAGCATTGCTCCCGTCTCGCACTGCACGCGAGACGGTAACGCTCCATTCTCGTCATTCGCTGGTTTTTCCTGATTCCAGCACCAGGAAGCATCGACAGTCAATTCGTTCGCTTGCCGGTCGCTCGTTCTCGCGCCAGCCGCGAAATGCGGAGAATGGTCCTGCATTCCGAGCAATCGCACCCGGAAAGCGTTTCCTAACCGGCGAATCCCTAACGCCAGCATCACTATCCGGCTTTAATCGCTCTCGCGGCTTCAATCGCTCCAGGCTCGCCGCATTTCGCGTTCCGGTCGCCGCGAAGGCAGCTGACGGCGTGGTCGTCGCAGCAGCGGCAGTCGCGGCGGATTTGGCGGTGGGGAAGAGCGCAAAAGCGGCGGAATTCGAGCGAACGGCCGGATGCCGGCGATACGTGTACCACGTGGAAGGAGGAGGACAGGTGAGAAGGGGGAGTGGGAAGAACAGTTGGGAGGAAACTCCTAGCCGTTTCAAGGGGGGGGCAGTTGAGGGGAGAGGGCAGGTGAGAGAGAGGGGGATGAGGTGAGAGGGGGGAGGGCAGTGTTAGAATTATACATTGTAGCATGCTAAGCACATGTGACTGTACACCAATTGTGGTGTACAGTTGGGTTGGGACTACACCCAACATTGGGTGTAGCCTTGCACTTTGGGGTGCCAATCCACCCAATTGTGGTGGAGCCCCCAAATTGCAACCCTCTTGACTTTTGGGTACCTCACTTCACAATTGAGGCCACCACAAGCCAAGTGGGCCTAGGGTTGCCACACTTCTTAGAAGTGTGGGCAACCCAACCCACCCCACCTATGGTTACCTCACTTCCCAAAGTGAGGCCAACCCAACCATAGGTTGGGTTCCTCCTTCCCTTCCAAGCTTCTCTTCCCAAACTATGTATGCTAGGTTTGCTCTCTAATGAGATCACTTGTTCAATTCACGTCTTTCACATGATATAGAGCTAGTTGTTCCTCAAACCTTAACTCTCCCTCCCTCAAGTTTTTTTTTTCCTATGGGCCCACCCCACAGCCACAATTTCCCTCCTACATTTAGCTCGACCTAGCATAGCAAGCGCATCGCCGCCTCCTCCCCTAGCCGTCGCGGCCATCCCGCCGCGCCGTCTCCTCCCCTCGCCGCCGTGGACATTTCGCCGCCGCCGCCTCCTCCCCTCGTCGCCGCGGCCACTTCCGCTGCCGCCGCCTCCTCCCCTCGTCGCCGCGGCCATTTCCGCCGCCGCCGCCTCCTCCTTTCGCCGCCGCGGCCGATTCCGCCGCCGCCGCCTCCTCCCCTCGCCGCCGCGGCCGATTCCGCCGCCGCCGCCTCCTCCCCTCTCCGTCGCGGCCGTTCCGTCGCCACCGCCTCCTCCCGTCGCCGCCGCGGCCGATTCCGCCGCCGCCGCCTCCTCCTGTTGCTGCCGCGGCCGATTCCGCCGCCGCCGCCTCCTCCCCTCGCCGCCGCGGCCGATTCCGCCGCCGCTGCCTCCTCCCTTCGCCGCCGCGGCCACTTCCGCCGCCGCCGCCTCCTCCCCTCGCCGCCGCGGCCGATTCCGCCGCCGCCGCCTCCTCCCGTCGCCGCCGCGGCCGATTCCGCCGCCGCCGCCTCCTCCCGTTGCTGCCGCGGCCGATTCCGCCGCCGCCGCCTCCTCCCTTCGCCGCCGTGGCCACTTTCGCCGCCGCCGCCTCCTCCCTTCGCCGCCGCGGCCGATTCCGCCGCCGCCGCCTCCTCCCCTCGCCGCTGCGGCCGATTCCGCCGCCGCCGCCTCCTCCCTTCGCCGCCGCGGCCACTTCCGCCGCCGCCGCCTCCTCCCTTCGCCACCGCGGCCGATTCCGCCGCCGCCGCCTCCTCCCCTCTCCGTCGCGGCCAATTCCGCCGCCGCCGCCTCCTCCCTTCGCCGCCGCGGCCGTTTCCGCCGCCGCCGCCTCCTCCCCTCGCCGCCGCGGCCGATTCCGACGCCGCCGCCCCCCCTCCCTTTGCCGCCGCGGCCACTTCCGCCGCCGCGGCCACTCCCCCCGCCGCCGCCTCCTCCCCTCGTCCCCGCGGCCGCTTCCGCCGCCGCCGCCTCCTCTCCTCGTCGTCGCCTCTCTCACACCGTCGCCGCCTGCGCCTCCCGCCGCGGCGCCCACTTCCTCCCCCTTCCCCTTCTCCCCTCCCCTCCACGGCAGCGGCAGCAGCGGCAGCAGCGGCAGCAGCGGCAGCAGCGGCAGCAGCGGCACCAGAGGCAGCAGCAACAGCAGCCGGAGCAGAGCTCCATCCTCCTGCAGCAGCACCTCCCCCCTCCCCCCCCCCACACCCCCCCCCCTGTTGGCCGCCGCGGGTCCACCCGCCGTCGCCCTCCTCCTTGACCGCCGCGGGTCCACCCGCCGTCGTCCCCCTCGAGGCCGCCGCGGGTCCACCCGCCGTCGCCCCTCATGGATACCACTCCTCCCCCTCTTCCCCCTCCCATTGACGCCTCCTCCGTCGACAAGCTCCAACTTGCCGCGGACCGCTCGGCGATCAATTGGCACTCCTTCGTCGGGAGCATCCGCCGCGTTCTTCAGGACGCATTCGTCGGATCCTACTGCGTCCTCGACGTCCTCCTCCGCCGCCCGCAAGCTCTCCAGCCCACGGCACCCAGTCACCCCGGCGAACCCCCTCCACCCCCCGATCCTCCTGGCCCTCCTCCTTCTGAACCCTCCTTGGAGATCGCCACTACCTCAGCGCTCCAGAGTGCCGCCGATGCCACCTTCCTCCATGACCGCCGCGAGTACCTCATCCGCAAGGCAGAGCACGAGGTCGCAGTCCACCATCACGACTTCGCAGTAGCGGAACGCGCCAACCGCCTGGCCCTCCTCGATGAATACAACACGGCCATGGCAGACTACCTCCCCAAGAGCATTGCATGGGCCGCTGCTGACAACCGCGCCTGCACCATCCTCCTCGGCGCACTCCCTGATACCCTCATGCGCCGTTTCCAGGCTCGGGAGATGCGCGCCTCCCTCATCTGGGCCGAGCTCCAGGCAATGTTCGAGCGCCGCGACATCAGCTCTGTCGGCGCCCTGTTCCAGGAGTACTTCTCCATCACCCTCGCTACCTGTGACGGCGCAGTTGACTACGTAAAACACATACAGGAGGTCGCTGATCGCCTTGCTGCACGCCAAGCTGCCCTCCCCGAGCCACTGCAAATCCACCGCCTCCTCTACAACCTCACCCCGGACTACGAGTCCCGCCTCCATGCCTTCACTGAAGCGAACGCCATGGCCGGCCTCAACGACGTGGTCCAATGGATCATCGACACGGAGGTCAAGCTCCGCACCCCCGTTGTCAACCTCACCACCCCTCAGCCCTCCTCCTCCAGCTCCCTCAATGCTACGCAACCGCGCAACCAGGGTGGTCGCATCGGCGGCGGTGGAGGCCGTGGAGCGGGTGGTGGTGGTGGAGGTCGTGGCGGTAGTGGTGGTGGTGGCGGTAGCCGTGGTGGCCGTGGCGGAGGTGGTGGTGGTGCTAGCAGTACCTCTGCTGGAGGACCGTCCGGTGCTAGTGGTGCTGTGACTCGAGGCGCTCGCCCTGGCACTCTCCCCCCATGCACGTATGTGCGCCGCCATGGTCCCCATGCTGGTACCCCTTGCGGCCAAACCAACCATCCCCCCAGCACGTGCTTCAAGGCGCTCGACGACGCCTGGTTTGACCGAGGTAACACTGGCACCCCTCCTCCGCCGCCGCCGCCGCCGCCGCCGCCGCCGCCGCCGCCGCCGCCGCCTCAGCAGGGGCAGCAACCCCATCATCCGCAGCGTCAGCGCGCCACCTCCCGCTCCTCCCCCTTTCTCCTTCCCCGCATGCACACCCGTTCTCTGGATCCCATCCTTGGGTCCCCTCCTCCTCCTTCCCTGCAACTCCTTGAGGACTCTCACGAGGAGTTCCTCACCATCCAGCAGCACACTCCATTCATAGCCGCCCTCTTTCTTGACTTCCTTGGCTTCCCCGTCCTCGGCGCCACCTCCACCCCCACCATCTTCACTCCCTCCACCTTCCAAGAGGCCATCACATGCCCTGACGCGGACAAGTGGATCGCAGCTATCTTCCAGGAGTGCGAGGCGTTTATCCGCAACGACTCCTTCGTCGACGTCCCCCTCCCTGACGATGCCAATCTTGTCGAGGGCAAGTGGGTCTTTCGGGTGAAGCAACTGCCGGACGAGGAACCGGTCTACAAGGCCCGCTACTGCGCCAAGGGCTTTACACAGACACATGGGGAGGACTTCTGGTTCACTTACGCCCCCACCGCCAAACCCCCCACCCTTCGCGCAACCCTCGACGTTGGTGCGCGTGATAACATGGAGATCGACTGCATGGACGTCTCCAATGCGTTCCTGCAGGGCGACCTGCATGATCGCATCTTCCTCCGCCGGCCACCCGGGTTCCACGCAGCCTTCCCTGAGAACACTGTCTGGCAGCTGCGTCGCCCTGTCTACGGCTTGAAGCAGGCGCCGCGCGAGTGGCATGCAAAGCTGGCTGCCACCTTAGGGTCACTCGGCTTCTCTCCCTCCCACTCCGACGCCAGCCTCTTCATCCGCTCCTCCCCCCGCCGCTTCTTCATCCTGGTGTACGTGGACGACATGGTCCTGCTTTCTGACACGAAGGCCGACATGGAGCAGATGAAGCAGTCCCTGCAGCAGCGTCTCAAGTGCAAAGATCTTGGAGCCCTCACCCACTACCTGGGCATGGCTATCACTCGTGACCGCTCTGCTCGCACCATCACCCTCTCCCAGTCCCACTACATCGGCCAGGTCTTGGAGAAGTTCAACGTGACACAGGCCAAGCCCATCTCCACCCCCCTCCCCTTCGGCCACCAACTCGCCCCACCCACCTCTCCCACCTCCTCCCCTCACCCCTATGCCGAGCTCGTTGGGTCCCTGATGTACGCGATGATGTGCACCCGCCCCGACCTCGCCTATCCCATCAGCGTGCTCGCTCGCTTCGTCGGCACCGGCCGCCACAGTGAGGAGCACTGGAAGGCGGCCAAGCGGGTCCTCCGCTACCTTCGAGGGACCAAGGACCTTGCCCTCACCCTTGGCGGTTCTTCCCCTCCTCTTCTCTCGGGCTTCAGCGACTCCTCCTGGGCCGACACGCAGCCGGACCGCCGCTCCTCCCAGGGCTACGGCTTCACCCTTGGCAGCGGCCTCATCAGCTGGCGCTCTACCCGCTCCTCTGCCATCGCCCTCTCTCTCCACCTGCGAGGCCGAGCTCTACGCCGGCACCATGGCCGCTCAGGAGTCCCGCTGGCTCTGCTTCCTCCTTGCCGAGCTTGGCGCTCCCCAGACGTGCCCCACTCTCTGGTGCGACAATGCCAGCACCATCCATCTCACTGAGGACCCTGTCTATCATGCCCGCTCCAAGCACATCGAACTTCGCTATTTCTTCATTCGCGAGCTTGTCCAGAAGGGTCTCATTGCCGTTCGCAAAATTGCGACCGAGGCCAACTTGGCCGACATTTTCACCAAGGCCCTCCTTCGCCCTGCGCACTCCGCTTTCCTCCGCCTCATCGGCCTCGCTCGCCCGGGCGCCCCTTGATTCAGGGGTTGTTCCCTCCTTGTGTTAGCATGCTAAGGGGTTGTGTTAGAATTATACATTGTAGCATGCTAAGCACATGTGACTGTACACCAATTGTGGTGTACAGTTGGGTTGGGACTACACCCAACATTGGGTGTAGCCTTGCACTTTGGGGTGCCAATCCACCCAATTGTGGTGGAGCCCCCAAATTGCAACCCTCTTGACTTTTGGGTACCTCACTTCACAATTGAGGCCACCACAAGCCAAGTGGGCCTAGGGTTGCCACACTTCTTAGAAGTGTGGGCAACCCAACCCACCCCACCTATGGTTACCTCACTTCCCAAAGTGAGGCCAACCCAACCATAGGTTGGGTTCCTCCTTCCCTTCCAAGCTTCTCTTCCCAAACTATGTATGCTAGGTTTGCTCTCTAATGAGATCACTTGTTCAATTCACATCTTTCACAGGCAGTTGGCTCAAAATTCGAAGGAATGTTGGCGATATGTGGAGGGGGAGGGGCAGGTGAGAAGGGAGATGTGAGGGAGGGAAACTGGGGAGGAGACTTCCAAGTCGATTCAAAGAGCCGTGGGGACGTTGGCGATACGTGTAACCGTGGAGTGGTGGCAAGGGAGAGGAAAGGGGGAGGGAAGGGGGAGGGAAGGTGATGAAAGGGAGAGCGGGTGAGAGAGGGGAGGGCGGTTGGGTGTAGACTCCTAGTTGACTCAAGACCCGCCGGGATGCTGTCAGTACCTGTACCACATGTGCCACGTGTGCCATGTGTGCCATGTGTGCCACGTGTGACACATATTCCCACCTAACCCCTTTTCCCGTGTCTCCCCCCCCCCCAACATCCCACATGCTCCTCCCATCTCATCCCCACGTCCAGGTGACTGCATACGTGGTGAAACGCAACCGCTGCTGCTGATTCTTGAGTCCACTCAACACCCACCTACCCACCTCCCCACCCTCCCACACGTCCAGGTGACGGCATACGTGGTGGAGCGCAACGGGTGTTTCGACGTGCTGCTGATTTGTGAGTCGACTCACAACCTACCTACCTCCCCCTCCTCTCCCCCCTTTCCCCCCTATGCCCCCGCCTGACAGCATATGTGGTGGAGCGCAACGGGTGTTTCGACGTGCTGCTGGACGTGGCTGCTGCTGCTGTTGCTGCTGCTGCTACTGATTCGTGAGTCCACTCAACACCGACCTCCCCCTCCCTTCCCCTACCCACCCATCCACACGCCCAGGTGACGGCATACGTGGTGGAGCGCAACGGGTGTTTCGACGTGCTGCTGGATGTTGCTACTGCTGACATGCAGTGCCGTCACGACCTGCCGCTCTGCATCCACTGGGTACGTCCCTCTGCCTGCTTGTATGTCCGTCCGTCCGTCCGTCCGTCCGTCCGTCCGTATGTCTGTCCGTATGTCTGTCTGTCTGTCTGTCTGTCTGTCTGTCTGCCTGCCTGCCTGCCTGCCTGCCTGCCTGCCTGCCTGCCTGCCTGCCTGCCTGCCTGCCTGCCTGCCTGCCTGCCTGCCTGCCTGCCTTCCTGCCTGCCTGCCTGCCTGCCTGCCTGCCTGCCTGCCTGCCTGCCTGCCTGCCTGCCTGCCTGCCTGCCTGCCTGCCTGCCTGCCTGCCTGCCTGCCTGTCTGTCTGTCTGTCTGTCTGTCTGTCTGTCTGTCTGTCTGTCTGTCTGTCTGTCTGTCTGTCTGTCTGTCTGTCTGTCTGTCTGTCTGTCTGTACCCCCAGGCAACCCCAGGCCACCGCCAGGCACCGCCTTTTAGAGAAATTTCTCACCCCCACTTCCTCCCCCTGCCCCGCCCCACCCACAGGGCATGTTCCACCCGCTTGGCCTGCTCCACATGGTGCCTCCCATGCACCCACAACGGCTCCCATACAATTTTTGAGGCGCCTCAAAAATCCTCCCATACACCTTCTTTCATTTCTCTGCCTCTTCACATGCTCCCACCCGCCCCCTTCGTACTTCGCCCCTTCTCTTCCCACCTTTCCATCCCCACAGGGCATATTCCGCTCGGACCGCTCCATGTGGTTCCTTCTGAACGACTCCCAGACACCGCCAGGCACTGTGTTCCTCAGAGGAAAGTGAGTGCTGCTTCTGCTGCTGCTTCTGCTGCTGCTTCTGCTGCTGCTTCTGCTGCTGCTTCTCCTGCTTCCGCCACCGCCACCTTTTTCCGCTCGTTTGGATATCCAGTGTCCTCAAACCATCCATCCATGCATGCATGCATGCACCCACCCATGTCTATCTACGCATGCACAATTTGTTTTCTCGTGTGTGTGTGTGTGTGCGTGCGTGCGTGCGTGTGTGTGTGTGTGTTCCTGCCCCTGTTCTCTTCCTTTTTTTTTGGTCATGCAACAAGAGGACGGGCACTATCCTTTACCCCTGGCCCTGAACCGCCCCCCCCAGTTAATATTGGTCCCGAACCACTCCCCCCAGTTGTAGTCCCGAACCACTCCCCCCGTTAAAAATGGTCAACCCCATCCCTCGATCCCTTACCAGAGTCTCGAGCCTCCCAGCCCTCCCAGTCCCATCCGTTCTCCTTCTCCCCCCTCCCCCCCCCTCCCCCCCCTCCTCCCCCTCCATCGCTTCCCTTCTCCCTCCCCCAACCCCGTTCCCCCCACTCCCCGCTCACTCCTCCGTCTTTCTTCCCCACTCGAAGGACCGACGCCATGCGCACGGTGCTGCAGGACGACGCCACGCCCGGGCACCGCTCGCTGCTGCTCTCTTTTGACGCGGAGCTCGCCCCCTTCTCCCTCAACCTCGTGCTCTTCCAACCGCTGCCTGGCATGGCCGGCAGCGGCATTGGAGACAAGTCTCTGGAAGGGCTCTGGCTGAGGTGAGTCATGGAAGCCTGGGTGAGTGGTGGGAGCATGTAGTTTTGGAGATGAACCCACGCCCGGCACCGCTCGCTGGTGCTCTCCTTTGACGCGGAGCTCGCCCCCTTCTCCCTCAACCTCGTGCTCTTCCAACCACTCGCTGGCGTCACTGGCAGCGGCATTGGCAACAAGTCCCCTCGAAGGGCTGCGGCTCAGGTGAGCCTTGCTGGTGGAAGGGAAGGCTGTGGATGTGCGACGGGATGAGTGGGGGTGAGGGATGGATGGCTGGACCGTTGTATGGCCTCAGCATGCCTTTCCCATTACTCCCCAATCACCACCCACACAGGAACTCCCGGCAGATGGACCTATGCGTGCCCATCGGCATGGGCCGCGGCAGCGCGAGCCCTTTGGGGGCCACGCCCAAAGCAGACGGGTCGGTGAACTTTGCGCTCTACTCGCGCTACGCTGAGGGCGTGGTGCTCTGCCTCTACCTGCCTGACGACGCGGAACCCACGGTAGGGATCATGGTTAGGGATGAAGGGTGATTGTTGAAGCCCCATCTCCAACCACCACTAGTTAAAACACCTGCCGTGCGTTTTACAGCTGGAGATCGATCTGGAGCCGTCCATCCACCACTGATGTTGCGGCATCTCCCCTCAACCCCCACCCCCCTCTTTCCCCCCAAACAAATTGGCCCGCCATGCCTCCTGCAGCTGGAGATCGATCTGGAGCCGTCCATTCACCGCACGGGAGATGTGTGGCACGTCAGCATTGATGCTGCTGACGTGAGCAGCTTCACGCGCTACGGGTACCGGGTGCAGGTGAGGCGGTGCAAGTGGGGTGATTTATGATGCATGCATAATGTGTCTGTGTGTGCGATGCAACGTCCACGTGCGGAAGTGTATGTATGCAGGAGTGGAAGCAAAAAGCCGACGAGGCGGCATGGTATTGCATGCTTGCCCTTCCACTTTCATGCCCTGATCTGATTCTCACTGTGCGCTCTGCTCTGCTTTGCACTCCGTGCCCTGCGTTGTGTGCCTTGCACTCCGTGCCCTGCGTTGTGTGCCTTGCACTCCGTGCCCTGCGTTGTGTGCCTTGCACTCCGTGCCCTGCGTTGTGTGCCTTGCACTCCGTGCCCTGCGTTGTGTGCCTTGCACTCCGTGCCCTGCGTTGTGTGCCTTGCACTCCGTGCCCTGCGTTGTGTGCCTTGCACTCCGTGCCCTGCGTTGTGTGCCTTGCACTCCGTGCCCTGCGTTGTGTGCCTTGCACTCCGTGCCCTGCGTTGTGTGCCTTGCACTCCGTGCCCTGCGTTGTGTGCCTTGCACTCCGTGCCCTGCGTTGTGTGCCTTGCACTCCGTGCCCTGCGTTGTGTGCCTTGCACTCCGTGCCCTGCGTTGTGTGCCTTGCACTCCGTGCCCTGCGTTGTGTGCCTTGCACTCCGTGCCCTGCGTTGTGTGCCTTGCACTCCGTGCCCTGCGTTGTGTGCCTTGCACTCCGTGCCCTGCGTTGTGTGCCTTGCACTCCGTGCCCTGCGTTGTGTGCCTTGCACTCCGTGCCCTGCGTTGTGTGCCTTGCACTCCGTGCCTGCGTTGTGTGCCTTGCACTCCGTGCCCTGCGTTGTGTGCCTTGCACTCCGTGCCCTGCGTTGTGTGCCTTGCACTCCGTGCCCTGCGTTGTGTGCCTTGCACTCCGTGCCCTGCGTTGTGTGCCTTGCACTCCGTGCCCTGCGTTGTGTGCCTTGCACTCCGTGCCCTGCGTTGTGTGCCTTGCACTCCGTGCCCTGCGTTGTGTGCCTTGCACTCCGTGCCCTGCGTTGTGTGCCTTGCACTCCGTGCCCTGCGTTGTGTGCCTTGCACTCCGTGCCCTGCGTTGTGTGCCTTGCACTCCGTGCCCTGCGTTGTGTGCCTTGCACTCCGTGCCCTGCGTTGTGTGCCTTGCACTCCGTGCCCTGCGTTGTGTGCCTTGCACTCCGTGCCCTGCGTTGTGTGCCTTGCACTCCGTGCCCTGCGTTGTGTGCCTTGCACTCTGTGTTTCTCAGGGCGACCCTGACTGGGAGGGGGGAAACCGCTTCCACTCGCGCCTTGTGCTCATGGACCCCTACGCCAAGGAGATGGCTGCACACGTGCCCGGCCAAGGTATGATGGCGTGGCAGGGCAAGTTATGCTGACGTGGTAGGGCAAGTTATGCTGACGTGGCAGGGCAAGTTATGGTGACGTGGCAGGGCAAGTTATGGTGACGTGGCAGGGCAAGTTATGCTGACATGGCAGGGCAAGTTATGCGTGGCAGGGCTAGTTATGATGACGTGGTAGGGCAAGTTATGATGACGTGGCATGGCAAGTTATGCTGACGTGGCAGGGCAAGTTATGCTGACGTGGCAGGGCAAGGTATGCTGACGTGGCAGGGCAAGGTATGCTCAGGTGAAGACGTGGTAGGGCAAGTTATGATGACGTGGCAGGGCAAGTTATGTTGACGTGGCAGGGCAAGGTACGCTGACGTGGCAGGGCAAGGTATGCTGACGTGGCAGGGCAAGGTATGCTCAGATGAAGAGCCCAACGCAAGCTGCAGAAGGCTCAGCATAGCCCTCCTCCTCGTCATAGGCAGCATCGTGACGCAAGCGGTTCTGCAGTCTCTCGTGCTTTCCAAATTAAACCAGAAAATAAGGACCTTGCTCGCACTTTCTTCTCTGGTGTGCCACTGCGCTTTGAATGACTTCCATCCATTCTCCCTCTTAGAACACGTCATGTTCTCTCCCCTGTCCTCGTTTCCATCCTCTTTTCCCCTCTCCGAGCTCCCCCCCTTTCCCATCTCGTCTCCCCTCCTCTTGCCCCTCCCATTCCTCTCCTCCTTTCGCCTCCTCTCAACCCTAAAACCTACCGCCCACCGTCCCATCAGAGGACCTGCCATCGCCAGCAGCAGCGTTGGCCGTCATCCCCACCATGCAGGAGCCGCCCTTCGACTGGCAGGACGACTTCCCCCCCAAGTATGCCCACTGCCCGTCTTGCCTATCTCTATTTTTAAACGGGATTCCCAGTCCAGTTTTTAGTGGGCTAAAAACTCGTTCCACCATGCAAGAGCCGCCCTTTGACTGGCAGGACGACTTAAGTAATTTCTCTGCATGCCCCTTTAAGTAAGTTCTCTGCATGCCCCTTTAAGTAAGTTCTCTGCATGCCCCTTAAGTAAGTTCTCTGCATGCCCCGCTTGCTGCATCTCGTCTCATGCTGGAAGGATGTGTTTTCTCTGTGAGGAAGGTGTAAAACTGGTATGCATTTTCTTTCGGGTGGTTGGTGGTGGTAGTACATGCCTCATTGAGAGATCTTTTCTAGAAATGATTGAGTTATAATTCAAATATACATGCAAAACTCAAGATTTCTCCCCCCCAATCCCTGGAAAACTGCTTAGTTTACCCCCTGGTGGAACTCCATATGTCTGTGTGCTCCAAAACCTCCGCAACTTTCTTCCGTCGTCGCTGCCAGCATCCCATCGGAGCAGCTGATGGTGTACCGCCTCAACGTGGCGGCTTTCACAACAGACGACAGGAGCAAAGGGAGTGGGCAATGACCATATGCTCGTTAGTGTAACCAGTCCATTGCCTGCCTCCCCATTCCCCCCTTCCCCCCTCCGCTCACCAGCATCCCATCTGAGCAGCTGGTGGTGTATCGCCTCAACGTGGCAGCCTTCACAGCGGACAAGTGCAGCAAGAGGAACAGGCAATGGGCGTGTGCTCAGTAGTGTCTTTTCCTGCCTGCCTGCCTCCCTCCCTCTCTCCATCCGCCAGCATCCCATCGGAGCAGCTGGTGGTGTCTCGCCGCAACGTGGCGGCTTTCACAGCGGACGAGAGCAGCAACGGGAGTGGGTAATGGGTATGAGCCCATGAGTGCAACCATCCTTTTTCCCTCACCCTCCCTCCGCCGGCCAGCATCCCATCGGAGCAGCTGGTGGTGTATCGCCTCAACGTGGGCTTTGCGAATAGGGGTTTTCCGAGTTTGAAGGTTGTGAGATTTCTACAGGTTTGCAGCTACTCCACGATGAACCTTGATGTATCGCCTCAACGTGGGCGGACGAGAGCAGCAAGGGGACTGGGCAATGAAATGCCCTCGCTAGTGTAACTAAGCCTTTGCCCGCTCGCCTCCCTCCTCCCTCCTCCGCCCGCCAGCATCCCATCGGAGCAGCTGGTGGTGTACCGCCTCAACGTGGCAGCCTTCACAGCGGACGAGAGCAGCGGGGTGAGCGAGGCGGGGCGAGGCACGTTCCAGGGCGTGCTGGAGAAGGTGGAGCACCTGCTGTCACTAGGTAAGGAAGAGTGAGGGGGCGACGGGTGTGGTAACAGGTGGGCAAACCTGAGGCACGTTCCAGGCCGTGCTGGAGAAGGTGGACCACCTGCTGGCGGTGGGTGAGTGTGGCGAGAGCCAGGGGGGCGGGGCTTGAGAGTGGCACCCAGATGGCCAAGACAGGGCACGTTCCAGGGCGTGCAAGAGAAGGTCGACCTCCTGCTGGCGCTGGGTAAGGAAGGGTCAGGGTTAAAGCTTAGGGCGGCAGGTGCAGCAAAAGGCAGGCAACGCCAAGGCACGTTCCAGGGCGTGATGGAGAAGGTGGACCACCTGCTGTCACTCGGTGAGGAATGGTAAGGGTAAGGAAGGGTCAGGGTTAAAGCTTAGGGAGTCAGGGTTAAAAGCTTACGGCAGGCAGATACAGCAGAAGGAGCCAAAGCTACGGCACGTTGCAGGGAGTGCTGGAGAAGGTCGACCACCTGCTGGCTGGGTGAGAGATTCTGGGTTCGGGGGTTGGACTTTAAGTGTGTAGAGTTGGGTTTTGAGAGAGCAGCAGGGTGTCATGGAGGCAGGGTTTAAGGTTGTGACCAAGGTGTGACCAACGTGTGACCAACGTGTGTGTGACCAAGGTGTGACCAACGTGTGTGTGACCATGGTGTGACCAACTTGTGACCAACGTGTGTGTGACCAACGTGTGTGTGACCAAGGTGTCACCAACTTGTGACCAACGTGTGTGTGACTAAGGTGTGACCAACGTGTGTGTGACCAAGGTGTGACCAATGTGTGACCGACGTCTGTGTGACCAAGGTGTGACCAACGTGTGTGTGACCAACGTGTGACCAACTTGTGACCAACGTGTGACCAACTTGTGACCAACGTGTGACCAACGTGTGTGTGACCGAGGTGTGACCAACGTGTGTGTGACCAACGTGTGTGTGACCAAGGTGTGACCAACGTGTGTGTGACCAAGGTGTGACCAACGTGTGTGTGACCAAAGTGTGACCAACATGTGACCAACGTGTGTGTGACTAAGGTGTGACCAACTTGTGACCAATGTGTGTGTGACTAAGGTGTGACCAACGTGTGTGTGACCAAGGTGTGACCAACGTGTGTGTGACCAACGTGTGTGTGACCAACGTGTGTGTGACCAAGGTGTGACCAACTTGTGACCAACGTGTGTGTGACTAAGGTGTGACCAACGTGTGTGTGACCAAGGTGTGACCAACGTGTGTGTGACCAACGTGTGCGTGACCAACGTGTGTGTGACCAAGGTGTGACCAACTTGTGACCAACGTGTGTGTGACTAAGGTGTGACCAACGTGTGTGTGACCAAGGTGACGTGTGACCAACGTGTGTGTGACCAAGGTGTGACCAACGTGTGTGTGACCAAGGTGTGACCAACATGTGACCAACGTGTGTGTGACCAAGGTGTGACCAACGTGTGTGTGACCAACGTGTGACCAACTTGTGACCAACGTGTGTGTGACTAAGGTGTGACCAACGTGTGTGTGACCAAGGTGTGACCAACGTGTGTCTGACCAAGGTGACGTGTGACCAACGTGTGTGTGACCAAGGTGTGACCAACGTGTGTGTGACCAACGTGTGTGTGACCAAGGTGTGACCAATGTGTGACCGACGTGTGTGTGACCAAGGTGTGACCAACGTGTGACCAACGTGTGTGTGACCGAGGTGTGACCAACGTGTGTGTGACCAACGTGTGTGTGACCAAGGTGTGACCAACGTGTGTGTGACCAAGGTGTGACCAACGTGTGTGTGACCAAGGTGTGACCAACATGTGACCAACGTGTGTGTGACCAAGGTGTGACCAACGTGTGACCAACGTGTGTGTGACCGAGGTGTGACCAACGTGTGTGTGACCAACGTGTGTGTGACCAAGGTGTGACCAACGTGTGTGTGACCAAGGTGTGACCAACGTGTGTGTGACCAAGGTGTGACCAACATGTGACCAACGTGTGTGTGACCAAGGTGTGACCAACTTGTGACCAATATGTGTGTGACTAAGGTGTGACCAACGTGTGTGTGACCAAGGTGTGACCAACTTGTGACCAACGTGTGTGTGACTAAGGTGTGACCAACGTGTGTGTGTGTGACCAAGGTATGACCAACGTGTGTGTGACCAAGGTGTGACCAACGTGTGTGTGACCAAGGTGTGACCAACTTGTGACCAACGTGTGTGTGTGTGACCAAGGTGTGACCAACGTGTGACCAACGTGTGTGTGACCAACGTGTGTGTGACCAAGGTGTGACCAACGTGTGTGTGACCAAGGTGTGACCAACGTGTGTGTGACCAACGTGTGACCAACCTGTGACCAACGTGTGTGTGACCAAGGTGTGACCAACGTGTGTGTGACCAAGGTGTGACCAAGGTGTGACCAACGTGTGTGTGACCAACGTGTGTGTGACCAACCAAGGTGTGACCAACGTGTGTGTAACCAAGGTGTGACCAACGTGTGACCAACGTGTGTGTGACCAAGGTGTGACCAACGTGTGTGTGACCAACGTGTGACCAACGTGTGTGTGACCAAGGTGTGACCAACGTGTGACCAACGTGTGTGTGACCAAGGTGTGACCAACGTGTGTGTGACCAAGGTGTGACCAACGTGTGTGTGACCAAGGTGTGACCAACATGTGACCAACGTGTGTGTGACCAAGGTGTGACCAACGTGTGACCAACGTGTGTGTGACCAAGGTGTGACCAACTTGTGTGTGACCAAGGTGTGACCAACGTGTGTGTGACCAAGGTGTGACCAACATGTGACCAACGTGTGTGTGACCAAGGTGTGACCAACGTGTGTGTGACCAAGGTGTGACCAACGTGTGTGTGACCAAGGTGTGACCAACATGTGACCAACGTGTGTGTGACCAAGGTGTGACCAACGTGTGTGTCACCAAGGTGTGACCAACGTGTGTGTGACCAAGGTTTGACCAGCGTGTGTGTTACCAACATGTGACGAACGTGTGACCAACGTGTGTGTGACCAAGGTGTGACCAACGTGTGTGTGATCAAGGTGTGACCAATGTGTGTGTGACCAACGTGTGTGTGATCAAGATGTGACCAACTTGTGACCAACGTGTGTGTGACTAAGGTGTGACCAAGGTGTGACCAACGTGTGTGTGACCAAGGTGTGACCAACGTGTGACCAACGTGTGTGTGACCAAGGTGTGACCAACGTGTGACCAACGTGTGTGTGACCAAGGTGTGACCAACGTGTGTGTGACCAAGGTGTGACCAACGCGTGACCAACGCGTGACCAACGTGTGTGTGACCAACGTGTGTGTGACCAAGGTGTGACCAAGGTGTGACTAGACATGATCACGAGTCGAGTCGAGTCGAGTCACCTCGAATCGCGGTCGAGTCGGGAGTTGCGTCGAGTCGAGTTGAGTCGAGTCAGCTTTCCGGAACTGCCGACTCGTGCTCGACTTCTGAAATCGAGTCATACCTTGACTCGAGCACGAGCCAACAACTCGTGAGTCAGTCTTGACTCGACTTAACCGTAAAGAATTTTCAAAGGCCCGAAAAGTCGTGTCCTGATTCGTAGCTAGCATGCAAGGTAGGAATGACAAAATCCCGTCCCTTCCCCTTTCCGCACAGGTAACTTGATGCGCACCCAAAATTGCGTGAAAGGCGGAAATTGGGTGTCGGCGGAATTTGCGTGACAGGCGGAAATTGAGTGTCGGAGGGGGATTTGCATGTCGAGCGGAAATTGAGTGTCGGGGAAGATTTGCTTGTCAAGCGGAAATTGAGTGATGGTCGGAAATTCGGTGACGGGAGAAATTGCATGAGGAAGACAACGGGAATCCACGTGGATAAAATTGGTGGCCCTCGAGTCAGGCCAGCTCGAATCGAGTCAGCCGACTCGTGGCTCACCAGACCGTCCAAAGTTGAGCGATGCATCGAGATTTCTCCTGAGTTCGACTCGACTCGACTCTACTCGAGTCAGGAAAATAAAATAACTGACTCGACTCGACCAAAAGTCGAGTCGAGCCAGCGAGTCGAGCTAAAACTCGCCTCGATTGATCATGTCTAGGTGTGACCAACGTGTGTGTGACCAACGTGTGTGTGACCAAGGTGTGACCAACTTGTGACCAACGTGTGACCAATGTGTGAGCTGCAGGAAGCATGCATTCTCTCTCTATACCATATGGCCTTTATCTGAACCCTCTTCACTACTCCCATCCTCCTCTTCTCACCCGCCACATGCTCGGCCACAGGAGTGAATGCGGTCCTTCGGTCCTTCTTCAACCAATCGCAGCGTTCGACGAGACCCAAGGACCATACTTCCCTATCAAGTAAGCGCCCCACCCATCCCAACCCATCACATCCCAACCCCAGCGATCGCATGTCCATCCGTCCATATATGCATGCATTTGTGCTCGTTTCCCCTCTTTTCTCCTTCCCTTCCCAACCACCCTCTGTTTTTTCTCCAAGATTTTCTATCACTCTGCCCTTCCCCCTCCTCCCCATCCTTCTTCCTCCTGCCCCCACCAGTTTCTTCGCCCCCATGCCATCCTACGGGCCAAGCGAGTCTCTCAATCTGTTGGTGTGCGAGCTGCACGCGAGGGAAGTGGAGGTGCACGTGGAGGTGGTTGGTGGTCAGCCACACAGCAGAGGGCAGTGATGAGAATCCCAAGCCCATCTCCTGCCCTCCCTCTACTTCCCACTCCTCCGCACCCTTTCCCCACCCTTGGCACCAGTTTCTTCTCCCCTATGCCCTCGTGTGGATCTACGGAGTCTCTGAAACTCCTGGTGCGCGAGCTGCATGCGAGGGGAATCGAGGTGCACGTGGAGGTGGTGGTGAGCCACACGGCGGAGGGCAGCGATGAGAAGCCCACCCTGCACTCCCTTCCCTCCCTTGCCTCTTCACTTCTGCTACACCCCTCTCCCCCCACCAGTTTCTTCGCCCCCATGCCATCATACGGACCCGCTGTGTCCCTCAAGCTGCTGGTGAGGGAGCTGCATGCTCGGGGAATCGAGGTGCACGTGGAGGTGGTGGTGAGCCACACGGCAGAGGGCA